GCATCCGTCATTAAAAGAAAATCATTGTATTTCAAGAAAACGTGCACAGATTAATTATTGTCAAATAAAATTATTTTTTCAAAATCTAGAGAAGGAATTAAATGGAGTAACGCCAGATAACATTTATAATATGGATGAAACAGGGTTTCATGATGACCCTGGAAAAAAAAACTTATTTTTCGTCGATCCTCTCGCCATCCAGAACTTATAAGAAACACAACAAAAACTTGTTACACTGTTGTTTTTTGTGGAAATGCCTCAGGAAAACTAATTCCACCATTTTTCATTGTTAAAGTAAAACACAGTTGGTCTGACTGGCTTTTCAACGCACCAGAAGGATCAAGAATGGCAACTTCTTGCAGTGGCTGGATGGAAATTCAAATATTTGAAGAGTGGCTGTTAAATCACTTTGTTCCAAATATTATAAATAAGGAAGGTAAAAAATTCTGATTCGCGATAATTTAAGTGCTCATATATCTTTACAAGCCTTAAATATATGTGAAAAGCATAATATAACATTTATATGTTTGGTACCCAATTCCACACACCTTTTACAACATTTAGATGTTGGATATTTCTCGAGTTTAAAAGCTGATTGGAGGTCAGTTCTTAATCAATGGCGTAAAACATCCAGAGGAAAAAAGGTTAATAACCTGCCAAAAAATTTGTTTGCGCAGCTCATTAAATCTACAATTAATGTTGGTAAAGAAAATCTAGAACATAATCTCCAAGCAGGATTTAAGGCTACTGGCATATATCCATTTGTACCAGAACATGTTCTCTCCAAAGTACCCAGTTTTACAAATATAGATATTCAACTCAATATTGGAGAATCGTTTAAGAATTATGTTGATGATATTCATCTTAATTATGAAGTAAGCAAAAAATTTAAGTTACCAATAACAGCAGGGAAAAGTGTATCAGCCACTGAGGTAGAAGCATACTATAAGGAAAGAGACAATAAAAAAAAAAATTCAAGATAATATTCGAGCAAAGAAAAGAGGAAGACCACTTGGATCAAATAATATGGTTATGAAAGTAAACAAAAAACTTAATATTTTACAAAGTTCAAGCACCGTAAATGTTAATCAAGTTATTGAAGACAATGAACAAGTTTTACCTGTATCTCAAAATGATGCAGTTTTTTCATTGGAGCAAATAAACAATCACTATGTACATGTTTTCCTTGATCATGATTATTTTGTAAAAGAGTTAGTTGTAACTCAAGACTAAAAGAATGAAACACTGTAATATTTAGTTTTATAGTCAATGGTGTTTATTTGTGGAGAATTATATAAAAATAATGTCTTAATTATTTTTTCTTTTATAACCTTAAAAATTATTTTGTGAATATTTTATTGAAAAACTTGTTTGTTTATTCTCGAAATATTTTATTGAAAAACTTGTTTGTTTATTCTCGAAATATTTTATTGAAAAACTTGTTTGTTTATTCTAGAAATAGTTTAACTAGATTTTTAAATAAATTAATTTAAACTAATACAAAGAAATTTAAACAACTTTTTAGATTTAAAAGATTAAAATTGACATTCAGTTTAATAGTGTTCAAAGTTACCCGAAATGCGAGGGTAACTTTGAACGCCTACTTGAACATTGTTTTTTTACATAATATCTAGCAAATTTAAAAAAATGATAACAAACTAGAAAAAAGAGATCATCAGAACACCCTTTACGTAAAAATATTTGTTATCTAGTTAGTAAAACAATTTTTGTAGAGATAAACCTAGCGTAAACCGTTCAAAGTTACCCTTAATGACTGTAATTACAGTAAATACCCAGTAATTGCAACAGCGTGATAGGCTTAAAATATAGCCAAAAGTTAACAAAAACCCATGTAGGACCTAACAGTTTAACTTTTTTTATATAATTATTGATTTCTGAGGTGCTATTTATTAAACTATCTTTAAAAAACGGTTGCTAAGAGCGTTGTTAGGTAACTCAAATCTATCTATCCTATTAAAAAGATAAATTAGACCTACTAATATATAAATTTAACCAATAAAAGTGCTCTAATTATGTTCTACAATTTTTGAAATTTAAAAAAATCACTTAAAAAAAAAACTCAAAAAAAATGTAAAAATTTCGTTTTTAATTGGGGTGGACCACCTTAACTTGGTAAGATACAAAATTTATATTTATTTATAAAGCAACTTTACCATTAAATCTACGACAAATAGATCTTTTCTACACAAAAAGTAAATTTGTAGCGACAGTCTCTTTAAATCAAGTTTCCGTTATTCCGATAATACATGGTTTGTCATAAAGTTTTACAGTTAGTATTTGTGTGTCTCAACCAGTAAAACAATGAAATGAGGTCATTCACTGATTTTGCAATAATATAATCATAAAACTTTTGAAAATTTGCGCAGCAACTTTTTATTGAAATATCGCATTTAAACTAGGGTTGTTCGCCGAAAAACAAAACTTGCGAAAATTTCGCATCTTTATCTACCGTAATAGAATTGTTATTACGGAAGTTGCACATGCGAAAATGCACATTCCGTAACGCGCTATACGAAAATATAAATAAATAAAATTCCGTAATAAAGCATTGCGAAAGAAAACTTGCGAAACAAATCATTTCGTAAGAATACTTACGAAATAGTTCCTTACGGAAAAAGCATTCCGGAATGTGTAGTTACGAAAAAGACGCAAAAGATTTTATGTTACGATATATTTAAGATATTAACTGTTAACAGTTTAAATAATAAATAATAAAATTATAAAAAAATGTTGTCAAATGATTCTTCAAATGTTCATACAAATATACCTAATATATATATATATATATATATATATATATATATATATATATATATATATATATATATATATATATATATATATATATATATATATATATATATATATATATATATATATATATATATATATATATACATTAACGGGATTTTACTGTATATATATGTATATATATATATATATATATATATATATATATATATATATATATATATATATATATATATATATATATATATACTTATATATACAGTAAAATCCCGTTAAGTTGGACTCTCAATGAATAGATAAACAGTATGCCTTTCTTTTTAAAAGGTATAAAGAGGATGTGTGATAAACAATTAAATACTTTATTATAAAGAACGAGAGATCTCTCGTAAATGATATCAGAAAGAGTAAAAAGAGAAGAAATATATGTGAAACAGCGGGATGTGAACCTGGGTCTACGCGGCCAAATGTCTTAACTGAATGAGCTATACGTTCATTCAACTAAGAGAATAGTAATATTTATTTAATATATAATTTGAAACTATATAAAACAGAATTTATAGAAAGAGATACGTATGCAAATAGGATTCTATATATCAGGAAAATGAATAGTAATGTGAACCTTTAGATGCTTATAATTAATATCTGGACTCAAAAACTAGTTACTTTTAATGGAACACAATAGGCTGTAGGAGCCTCAGGGAAATTATATTCAGAAATGGTTATATTAGACTCAGAGTTAGCTAGAAATTATTACAAAGTATTTAGGACAGATGTCTAGTACAAAAAGCAAAAGATTTAAAGCAAAATGAATTATATTATTTGAAAAAATTGTTTTACGTACATTTCATCGTAATTTAAGTAGAACTTAGTAAAGCAAGGGAAACGTGTTGAATTAAGCACAATTTTAAAAGAATAACTAACAGAAGAGAGGTTGTCACTATTGTGAAGGCGACGAAAGATCTGTAATATAGAACATGGAGGTCAAAAAATGCTATCTTAAGTAAAAAGAGTTTGATGAACAAAAGTTACAATGGCTGCGGGATGCGAACCCGGATCTCTGCGGCGAATTATCACGTATCTAACTGATTGAACTATACAATCTTATACTCAAATTTATATCTTATTAAAATTAAAAAACAAAATTTTCTATGATCTATACTTTGAAAAGCGTATTCAAACAGGACTCTACATACCTTTAAAATCTGCTAGAATTTTAGTAACGTGCACACTTTTAGAAATTATTGAAATAGGTATATTTTATCAGAAATATGCTTAAGCTAAAGCATATTTTTGAGCCTCTTTTTACTATTTGCTTAAGCATATTCGAACCTGTTTCAAAAATTTCATATGCTTTAAAAAAAAAACATGTATATTCCTACCCATCATTCTTATTTTTAATATACGTAATGAGTTCGAAAAACATCGTTGTATATATTTATTATGGCACGTTTCGTAAGTTTATTTCCGTTAAGAATTCTTTCGTATGTTGTGATCCGAAATACTTTCGTTTCGAAAGAAATTTTATTTTTTATCAATATTTCTAAAAATAAAATTGTAAAAATTTAATAAGTTATTTTACTGAAAATAAAAATTCATTATAAACATTTTGGGATTTAAAGATGTTAATTTTTACAATTAAAATCAGTCTGGCAAACAAATTTTCTTTATAGACTTCAAAATGTCGTTTGGCAAAAATGTTTGTTTCGCAAGTGCGACTTCCGAAACCGCTACTTTCGTATGTTGCAAAATAGTTTTGTTTCGAATGTCAACTTGCGAAATGCTAAATTTCGGAAGTGGCTTTTGCGAAATGAACATCGGCGATTTTAAATGTTTTGTAACATTCGGTACGAAAAAATGTAATTCCGTGTTCTCAATCTCCTTACGAAAGAATGTTGTTTTTCCGGAATTGCACGAAATCCTCCGGTTAACAACCCTAATTTAAACGGCGACATTAAAAGATTAAAAGCAGAACGACAAAGACAACTTTAAAATTTTTTTATTTATTAACTTGCTATTAAAACATTAGTACGCATTTTATGTTTATTATTCATTATCATCTTATTTTTTATTTAGTTTTTAATTAATAATGTAAGGTAATATTTTATTATCAGTTTGTTATTGTTAATGTCTCTTTCAAATAAAAAATCAATATAACATACATTAACTGACTATTTAAAATAGAATTGCAGAAACATCGACATTTTCAATTAAACAACAAAACACTTTAGTCATTGTCAAATAATTATATTTCAATCATTTAAAATTAATTCAAAATATAATTTACAACATCATATTTCTCCATTAAAATCGGAGGGAGAAAAGGAAGAGGGTCAGTGCAAACCCCCCCCCCCATTATGAATCCGCCCCGGCTACATTATTAGTTACATTGTGGGCAAAAATATCAAAAAAATTAATGTTGTTATTTTTAAATGCTTTTTTTTACGGCTACCATAGCAACTATCATTTTTGATCAAAAAGTATACTTTTTTTTAAATCAAAATTCGCTTACGAGAAATATTAAACCTCATCATAAACGTTTACGCATTACACAATTCTCTTAATCGTAACATTGAAACTTAAAAAAACTTCACCTCAATAAAGTTTGGGTAGTTAAGTTAGTTATCATAAACCTCAAATAATTTCTGGCTAGCCGCTGTTAAGTGTATATAAAAGTTGAGATAATCAGTTCTCGAAGTGAAAAAGTAACGGGATAGTTTTTCAGTAATTTCAAAATACGATCCCGTTGACTCATTTTTACATTAGAAGAGTTATAAAAAGGTGGCAGAATGGTTTATACTTTATAAAAAGTTGGCGGGATGGCATCACACCTCACTTCGAACACTGGAATTTAAAAAAAACATTTTTACTGAGAGAATTAAGTAATTATAGAATTATTATAAATTATGATTTGTATCTAATTTACAAATAACAAACAATTGCTTTACATTATGTATAAAAGTGGCTGATCTTTATTTACAAGTAATGGATTAAGAAAAAAAGAAAAATCTATTTTATTATACGAAGAAAAATTAGGGATCAACTTCATCTGCTTTGACTAGCTAAAAAGAATATAAAAATGTAAATCTTATAATATTGAAATAATAATTTTAATATAATTCAACCTAAAAAAATTTACTTTTTTGTTATTGCTTTGAAAAGTAAGTTAAAAATACTATAACTAAAATATTATACTTTGCCTTTGTCTTGATTCTCCAATAGTCATTGCCATAAAACAACCTGAACATAAACCATTAAATTCAGGACTTCCGAAAAATTCACAATTAATTTTCAGACACTTCAAATCATATTTATTTGATTGGCTTTCACATTTATGACACTTGCCAGTAGGTAATACAGTGAACAAAGCACAACCGAATGAGGAACAAGGAACCGCATCATTCTGCTAAAGAAAATATTTTAATGTAATACGCTTTTAGTCGACTAGTCGGATATTTGATCAATTTAGTCGGGTAAATTTTCGTTTTGAGGACCTTATTTTTATTTTTTTCGATAAAAATCAACGACATAAACTTATTCGTTTTAAGCTTGGTTTCCAATAATTGTAGAAATACTGTACAACAGTTGTGCGCTTTTGTACCCAGCCCCACCTACATTTGTTTAAAGTATAGTATTTGTTTATGTAAATATTACGTAAATCATTCGTCATAACTATTTGTACAGAGTATTAACTTTAAAAACTTAAAATTATTTATTTTTTTACAAATGAAAAAAAAAGTTCCGCAGAGCCGACTTGATCTGACCCTGAGGAGAATAATTTTCAGAATTATAACGCTTAGTTATTGCTATAAATAAGTAATAAGAATTTTTAATTTTAACACACACTGTTCTGCTACATATTAAATTCTCGATTCAAAAGTTATTACAAAAAGATTTTATTGCTTGAATTTTATTACTTAAAACATTATGTTGCTGGAAAAATTTTAAACATTATGTTGCTAGAAAGTCTTAGGATGGAATGCAAGAAGCGAACTTAAGTCAAGCTCGACTTGAACTTTACATTGCAACCAATATGACAGAGTATGGGTTTTCCCCTAAAAAAAATACTCTGTCGCTATTGGTTACAAAGTAAAGTTCAATTCGAACTCGACTCAAGTTTGCTTCTTGCATTCCACCCTTAAAACATGTTACTGGAAAAACTTAAAACATTATGTTGCTGGAAAAACTTAAAACATTATGTTGCTGGAAAAACTTAAAACGTTATGTTGCTGGAAAAACTTAAAGCATTAAGCTCAGTTAATAATGTACAGTAGTAGTAGGAAACTTAAATAATATTTAAGTATAAAATATATTTTAAATAAAAATAAGGTTGTAAATACACAATTTAACTGTTGCTAAGCTGTTAATATTGTTTTTTAAAATCTTTAGTTAACCAATATTAAGATAACATTGTACTTTTAAAAAATATTTCATGTTTCGTTTTCTTAACAACTTATTTTCTTAATTACTAGGACCTGAGAACTTTATAAATCCTAAAGATTTATAGATAAAGAATTATCAATCTTAAAGAACATATATAGCTACTAACTAACTAAATACTTTCTTTAGTAAAAAAGATAAAAATAAAGCTCTCAGCTAGTATAAATTAGGAATATAAAAAAAGGAAAAGGCAAAATATTATTAGAAGTAATCATATTATAATACTATACCAATACTTTTTAGAGATTCAACTAAGAAAATAGAATTGTTTCAAGCTTTAAGAAATGTGCCACAGAAATGTGTTAAAATATATGCTACAGAAATGTATTAAGAAATGTGCTACAATAACATAGAAAATAATCAGGAAAAAAAAAAAGCTTAATTATAGCTTCAAAGTAAAACTCAAGAAATGATTTGAACAAATAAATAATATTAATAATAATTAAATACAACAACAAGCAATATATCTAAAACAGTATATTTTTCCTTCTAACCAGGCACCATTTTGGTTAAAATGAAAAATATACTGTTTTAGATGCTTATGAAAATATCTTATGTTATATTTTTGTTAAAATAGAACCATATTTCTTTCTTTCAAAATTTTTATTTGAGGCTGAAACATACCTACTAAAAAACAAAATTTTATACACCATTTTTAGCACTGTTACCATTGTTACAAGTGCATCGCTACTTTTATACACCATTTTTAGCACTGTTAGTTTTCATCAAAATGTTTCAAAGAGCATCACAACTTTTAAAACAGTATAAGGCCATAGGTTATTTAAAAGGGTTTCAGTAGAAAAAGGAATTAAGCAAATTATATTTTAAAAGACATCTTAAAAAAGTTTAATTTATATAATTAAACAAAACTTCTAAAATCTCTTCTAGATGTAACTCTTTAAATCGATTTTTACTACAATATTTCAAGAGAGTATAGATACTCTTATTATCAAATATAATAAATTTAAAAAACTGTTAAAAACAAAACAAAAATAATTCAATGCAAGTTTCTTTTGATTAAAATTCTAAACACATTCCAAAAAGAAATTCGTGACATACATTTATGATGTTGAACATTCATAACGTTTTATTTCAAGTGCCTTCCTCACTTTTCTGTTAAAACTATTGATCTCTACTTTTAAAGTGTATTTGTTGTTCCATGCTAAATTAATTTGAAAAAAATTACCATGATACCTTTTTGATTATTGCGTAGAATGTTCCGGGTATCTATACTCCCTTGAAATATTGTAGTAGAAATCTATTTAAAAAAGAATGAAGCAATTATCTTTTCATTAGGGTAATTTATGGGGAATTAAAGCAAGGTAGGAAGAGGAACCATTTTTATTGTTTTCGATGAAATATTTCTTAATTCTTTCGGCCATTAATCATTTTTTGCCCTATAAAGTCATAAGGAAACAAAAATAAGGGAAAATAAAAACTTGGAACACCTACTACCTTCATTCTTTGCCTTCATTCTTATCACTTATGTAACAGGTTAGTTTATAGATAATAAAAATTTAAGTCAGTAATGAAAAGTTTTGTTTTTCCTTTTGATCATAAATTATAAAAAAAAATTTCTTGATTCTTTTTTTACAAAACAGGTTTCAAATAATTTGGAACAAGACACACTTTACAAATAATTTGGAACAAGGCACACTTTACAAATAATTTGGAACAAGACACACTTTACAAATAATATGGAACAAGACACACTTTAGAAAAAAATAATTTGGAACTAGACAAAATTCAAATTTTGCATAAAAGATATTCTGTATTTAAAAATAAACAGCGATTTTATTTTGAACCAAAGATTTTTCTTTTTCAGCCTTTGACCTAAAGATGCTTGTTGTAGACAAAAATACAGTCAAACAACTACTTTTCATAATTGGGGTTGACAAAACTTCTTTTGTATCTTGCCCAGTGGAAACTGAAGACTAAATGAAGTGCCTCAGATGAATGCTCACTATAAAGATCGAGGCCAGTGCTGTAAATTTTGATGTACTCTTTAATGTGGTGGAAAACAACATGAACCTTTGGATCAGCAGTGTCATGTAGCATTCTTGAAAAGCATTTATGTGAACCTCAAAATCTGGATACTGATTACTTCCGAAGCAAGAATGAATCAAACTTTGAAAGTGTTTGAAAGCCTTGACCAAGTTCATAACAAGATCAACTTGATGTTTGGTCACAAGCTTACTCAAGAGATCTGTATTGTTAAAAAGCTTTTTGCAATCTTTACCAGCTCTCTACTCTGGTAGGGTTGAATGTTCAAATACAACTTTGAGTGCCATTCACTAGCTCCTTTTTAAATGCTCTGAAGACCATTGTAAAGATAATTCACCACCCCAAGCAAGAAGCTACAACTTGCTCTCTTGAATGTGAATTGTAGAGCTGGAATTGAGTTTTGATTGATTTAACTGTTCTTGGTTTTCTTTTTAACTGCAGATTGTCTGAGGTAATGTCACACCAGCAGCAGGGGTGTGAACTAGATTCCACATAGGATATCAGCAACGGTCACACGCAACTGTCATGTCACACGCAATGAAGAATGATGTGCTGACTTGAGGTTCTCATAGTTTTTTGTAAGACTTTTTGGCTATGGCTACAATCACTTGCTACTTGAGTCGTTTAATTCCTTTAGGCAAGACACCTTTTGACAAGACAGATGCAGGCAGTTTTTTTCCCACTTCAAAGTCAGTCTGTACCATCTTTTAAACATTTTTAAATTTTGAAACCTTTATAGACTGGCGAGGAAACCACTTTTTGAGTGTTGTCATGCAAAGATATAACAACTTTTCATGTGCCTTGGAAGAGCTTTGTGGACTGCTGCTTGGTGCACATGATAAAACACACAAAATCTACAAAATCTATACTTTGTTATGTCAACTTGATAATGAATCATGAACAGTCAGTTAACAAGTTTCTTGTGATTTTGATACTTTGATCTAATTTTACAGTCTGGGGAGCCCATTGCTGATTTTACCACTGTCTAGTTTTTGCAAACTTGTTCTGCAAGAGTTGAAAATTCCTGATGAAACCGGGGGATGAGAGCAGTTAACCTCTTGTTTAAGCAGGACCTTGATTCTCTGCTTCACCAACCTACAAATACTTAAACATATTCTAGTAGTTTAATTTAGATTATTTTTTTATAATAAAAATTCATCAAAATTTACTTCTAGTTTAAAATGATTAAATTTTTAAACTTTTTCTAAAATAGTAATCAAATATTTTTATCGATTCACCAATCAAACAAGTATTGTAGTAAAATTTTAATGTATTGGGCTTTTTAAATTTTTAAAATTGATTCATTTTTGCAAACATTACCCCAAAAAAAATTATTCAAAGAAATTTTGAGTAATGGCAAGTTTTGAGTGGCTTTCCGTTTTGTCAAACTTTGTCACCAGGAACACCAAGTAAGGAATGTCTAAAATTCTGCTTTGTTTGTTGTGGAAATTTTGTTTCCCAAAGCAGGAAGCTATTTAAATTTTGGAAACTCATTGATTTTGAGGAACTTTAAAATAATTTTAGGTACATACTAAGTATATACCAAAAATACTTAAAAGTCACAATATAGTAAAAATTAATGCCTTAATACAATCAAAATTTGTTTTAATTAAAATTGAAAAACTTTGTTGTCCTTATTTTTGTATTTTTATGACTTTATGTTAAGCAAAAGTATTACAGGTAAAATATTATCAAATGCTGAAAGAACTATTTCATCAAAAACAGTAAAAATGGTTCCTCTACCTGCTTTGCTTTCAAACCCGGTAAACCAGCCTGATAAAAAGATAATTGCTCCATTCCTTTTTCTACTTAAAGTTCTTTGAATACTCTATGTCTTTATACTGTTATAAAAGTAAACTTTGCTTCTTAGTAGGTATATTTCAGCCTCAAATAGAAATAAAACATTTTGAAGAAAAGACCCCAAATATGGTTCTATTTTAACAAAAACATGTAAAATCA